TATCAAAGCCTAACTTCATTTCCTTGCGTTGACCTCGGATTTGGTTAAGAATCAGGCGGGCAATAATCTTCAAACTAAATTTACATTTCTAAAAGAGGTTCGGCGGGACTAAAGCAATTTTCCTTATTGAACGTGAGTGACTTCCGGACCGGTACACATGGACCTTTAAACAAAAGCCTTATTGTATATGTGAGTTTATCAATTTCTATATACACCATTTACATCAAAAATAATCCAAATTTTATAAAAAGGTTGAGTTTCGTCAAAAAGTTCAACTGGGTCTATCAGTCATAATCGAACAAACGAAGGATCGCGCAGAGTATGGCCCCGCACGTATTTGTTCCAGGTCGATTACAGCAGGACTTGCCAGTAGGTTTGGTAGAGAAAGGCCTCCTTTGCTGTTTGACGCTGAGCCTTGAGGACGTTCGCCCAAATGCACCAAGCATAACATTTATCAACTGAACTTCGGTTAACACGTGTCGCTTTCTGCCGGTGTTAATGAGGATATTTGTTCTATAGCGGAAATAGATCCGGCTATCTGCATCTAATATAACAAACGACGAATGGCCGTATGGAATGGCAAACACTTCCCAAACCCTATGTAAAATGTCCGCGTGACACATAGTCCGCGAAGGAGTCAGGCGGTGCATTTTATTCCCAAAGTCTTTTTGTCACCAAACTCGTTTTACCTAAGATGCCCGCTTTGTACATAGGATACATGGAGTCAGTCTTAAAGGTTTCCATCTTGCCGATGACATCATACTGAGGACTGCACGTCTTTGCCGCTCGCATTGTTGAGGATGAAGTGAGCATCAAGTGATGTGGATTGAATTGAAATCATGGTGGACTTGACAAAATTCACCAAACGTGACGGTCGCGGCCTTGGAGAGCGGCTTTTCTCCAGAAGAGCCATTTCTGAACCTACGATATAAGTTTTCTGCCAAATCCCCATAGGTAGGTGTTGGGAGCCAGTACTTTTATCAACATACGCAGAGAAAACAAGCCGTATGGGTCGCGGGTGTACATGAATTTCCAACGAGGAATTAACCAGATTTCCAAGAGCAGCGTCGCTGTCTATGAACTTTATGCAGGTGCCTTAACACATAGGGGCCTGCATTGAAGTCTTCTGCATGCATACCTGTAGCGCGGTGAGCGCATGGCTCACCTTTGCCTTGGTCACTGCATTCCAAGTTCGTCGCCAGAAGCTGATCCCGCCTTAGCAACAGAGCAGCAGGTACGTTAGTTTGTTCTCATGCACCAGAGAGTAGGGATGGTGAACGAACGCCTTGTCGCTTCCAGGAATGGTGTCACATGCCTCTTGGCATGTTGGAGTCGTTTCATATCGTCTCATCAATTTCCTTAAAGAAAAAAAAAAACACACGGAATTTTTTGGGAGTGGTAACTAAAGTATCACGCTAGATACAATTTGTATAACTTTCTACCAGTTTCGGTTTAATTCAAGCATGTCCAGTGTGCGATTTATTCATTGTAATCTTAAAATAGTTCTCTCATTTAAACTCACCCGTTAGCCAAAAATTATAATCTTTCTTTAAATAAATCAGTCAAGATAGGATGGCTGTTTTGAAATACTCAAAAGTTGTCAGGTTTCTGTCTCAGCTTCATTCCGAAAGTGACGTCAGTGTCTCCATCAGTGTGACCATCAGAAAACTTCTTTACACAAACTTGTTCTCTACATCTCATGACTCATAATTTCATCGGATGCTATTTCATTCGAATCGGGTTCAAAACCAGACCTCACCAGATATCGCTCTCTTGTGTGCAATATAATAATTAAAAATATTATCATCATTTCAGCAACCGTAGGGAGCACAACTCCTTGTAACTGTCTGTGGACCTTGAACCCGGGTTTTCGGTTTAACAAGCGAACACTTTCACCGCTGGCCTACCCAACCACTCTAATCATGAAATGAATCATTTCAAGGCTCAAAACACTTACTTTATACACCTCCCAAACACCGGAGCGCCTTGTCGAGAATGGCGTGATACTGTTCTTTCATTAAATATCCCTTCTCCTCGGAACGTCGAATTATAGGCATCCAGAGTCTGCGGACGGCCCTAAGGACAGAGCTTTGCATTGACACCAACATCATGAATCTGAAATTAGAAATGACCTGAACAACAAAAGCTGTAGGTCTGTACGCGTATGCATGCCGACAGAGCCTAACATTTCGTTTAGAGTTACGCCCCTTCCGTGTATAAAGGGTGACCTTTGATCAGACTGTACCGCCCTGATAGTCTCCTCGAGATCACCGGGCGACCATGCCATTCTGTGTTTCATCTAAAGGCATTATCATGGCAATGTAATCCAGTTCCTGCAAGTGCGATGAAACTTGTAGACCCTATATCGAGGAATTACCATTAAGAGGAGTGAGTGAGCCATTTATACGCCAGCTTTATCGCACCCAGCAATATCACAGCGGGACACCAGAAATGGCTTCACACAATGTGCCCATGTGGGGAATCGAACCCGGTCTTCGGCGTGACGAGCGAAACCTTCCTAACCACTAGGCTACCCCACTCCGCCCCATTACCATTACGAACGCCTGTACGCCAGTTGCAAACATGGAAATGAGTTAATCTGGACCTAGATTTTAACTAGACACGGCTGTCTATGCCAACGAGGTTTCCACTGTTCATCAACCTTAGTATTGCAGAAAGCCATGTACCATCTTTCGTGACACCCTGTTAATCCGGAACGAACACACCTTGCCAGGATAGTTGTGAGAGACAAATGTCAGCCGTGTGAGGACTAAAACATCAAAAGATAGATGTTCACAACAATATCATCAAATGCTAAACAATAGAGGGGTGACCATCGCCAGAGCAAACCCAACCCCTGTATTCGCCTGTATCAGCGTAAGATCAGCCTTAATGTGAAGCTCGATACTGCCGTACTACCGGCCAGCCTGAAGTAGTTCTATTCCATTTGCACACATCCAAGCCGTAACCTGCAAAACAAATCAGTATCTGTGGTAAAACATTGTTCATAGAAATATCATGACATTTAACAAACAATTAATGTTTTTACGCCGTTTGTCCGGCCATTACGCTGGTGGTGTGTAAGAAACGTCACATGCCAGGCTGTCACGTAATTTGCTATATACGTGTTATTGATGTTATTGATGCCATGCGCCTACAGCGACTTTGAACAACACCCCATATATTGAACAGTGTGTATATTGCAAAACCGTCAGAGTTTGATCGATCCATTTTCATGCAACAACATCTGGTGAAATATGAAAAATAAACGATCTGTGCGGTTTATTCACCAGTATTCCATACAGTTTCATAATACACTGGCCCAAAAAGAAACGCATAGGCGAAAATCCATGTTACTCAGTGATGCTTTAATAACTTAAAATTACACAAAAGTAATGATAATAGAGCAATAAAAATTCACAGCGCCAGTAACCAAAACAGTCATTCACAGTGGTATTGAGAGTCTCTGTTTCCATGGCACGGTCACAAGTCACTATCTGGTGTGATCACCTCACGAGCCTCAACCACCGCTCTGCACTGCCCGCACACATAGACTGTGTAAGACGTCGGATCCGCCGTTGTGGATTCTTTTCCATTCATCCTGCAACGCACTAGATGCTTCGTTGACGGGGTTCGTGGTTGCGGCTGTCGGCGTCGTACACGATGATCCACTGGTCCCACAAATGTTCAATTCAAGCTAAGATCCGAGATTTTGAAGGCCAAGGAAGAACTGCACGTTGTTGATGGCAAGGAAATCTGTTGTAATGCGCGTCGTGCACCGCGTTGTCATGGGGTGCCCTCTAGCGTCAATTACGGGAATAATATGACGTACCAGGATTTCATCACGATAGCGCACAGCATTCAAATTCCCTTTGACATGCCACCAGTCATTTGTCATTCAGATATGCCTGCCCATTACACCTTTCGCCGCCGTGTCTGTCGACCTCACGAAAGAATTGGTCGAGCATATCTTCATTTCGACAGTTCGTAACCATCCTGCCATCATGTCGATACAGCAGAAAACCGCGACTCGTCGTCGAACCAGAACCTCCAGTTCAAGAGGGTCCCATGGCCGAACGTTCCTGTTCCATTTAAAGACGTGCACGACGATGGCGGTACGTAGAACAGGTCCTGTATGTGGTCGCATCGGTCGGATTCCATGCCCACCAGTGCGCACCGATGGTTTGTGCAGAGACTCCACGCAGCCCATGAACATTGTCGGCGGTGTACGCTGCAGTGACGGTCCGCTGATTTCGCAGATGAAACACCCGGATGGAAGCGGCCCTGCGCTGAGCGTCACCCTTGGTCTCCTACCCAGACGATCTCTGGTCGAGTTGGTGCTGCAGTAGCGCCAGAGACGTGTTCCGCGTACCGCCCGCACGTTTAGATGTCTGGTAACTGATTACTGGCTTTCTCCAGCTTCCAAAGTTCTGCTTTCTTCGTTTAGTCGTGGCATCGTGAGGGTCGCATATACAGAATTTCGGAGAATGAATCGCAACAGGACTGCTTGCTTTTATAAATTCCATCAGTAATCAAGATTAGATCCGTATTTACACGCATCATGCTTCTGCATTCTTCTGCTATGCAGATTATACGATATTTTCATATGCCAGGTTTTGGGCGAATAATCACCAAAGGTTGTGTTTGCGTTTGTTGATAAATTGTACGGCTATATACCTACACTTAATATTAACATTGGCTATCATTCCACGCTACCATCTTCGACAATCTACTCTTTAAGATCAGAATTCAGCTATGTTTCTTTTTGGGCCAGTGTAAATTGATATTATATACGCATTGATTTCAACCTTTGAAGTATTTGTATATCACAGTGCGACATGGAAAGTCGTTCCAGGCTAACAATTGTGTCTGAATCGCCGTTTACCTGATTCTGACGATCAAGTGTTCACCTGTATTTTCCAAATATCAGAGTTGGTAAATTATCTTGATGACATAACTGTTAAAACTGGTATATGATTCGGATCCTTTCTTACAGTTTAACGGCAATTACAGAATACAGGCCGAGTTTGTTTCTGAGTGGAGTGGGAGTATTTTTTTACACTACTTTTAAACAATATGTCGCAATAGGACGCGGGGAACACCCGTGTAGCTCAACTTCAAACATTGTATCCAATAGAGGAATCGGTCCTCGAGCCTGCGGCGTAACGAGCGAACGCTTTATCCATACCGTATTTCCCAACCGCACCTTCTCTATCAAGCAATTATATAATCTGGGAGCCGTTTAGTGCGGTCAAAGGATTCATACATAGTTTGTGGTAGCCTATTCTGGCATATTCTACTGTGACTCACAACCGCCGGCTGTTCTGGAGTTTTAAGCCAGCGTTGGAGTTTGTATATTGCGTTCAACGTTGTACCCCCGTGGGCGCCAACGCTTCCACAAGGCTATCCCATCGCCCTCTGATTCAGAACGCCAGGAACTTAGTGTTTCCGGTAACATAAAAGCGACAGCTGTTACGTATGAAACCCTGGAAGGGACATTGTCGCGCTGTCGCATTATCGCGTTGTCGCCTTCTGCAAAACGCTGCGCCAAAGTCCCCTAAAGCGCGACAACGCTACATTTTGGCCATATCATTTGACTTTGTCGCGTCGCGTCGGACTTTGGTTGATGTTGACATACTTCAATGCCAATTGTAATATTAAGCCTGGTACCGTTCATTTCTCTATCACACAACAATCAATGAACCAATATATTATACACCTTTGGAAATATTCAGTAATGTACGACAATGCCTTACTTCTTTAAAGAAAAGCATATTTATTTTATCGGCCAATCACGAATCATGGGAAATACAAGCCAAAAACCGCTTGTATTTCAATACAATCCAATTGGCAAGGTATTGATTACATAGTGACGTTCAAACTACTGGAACTTAAGGTGTATTGGATTAAAATATCAAATAACGTTCTGTAACTTTAATCAATTACGCCTGTGTCACGTAAGTAAGGAAGTTAATGCACTAAGAAGATTAAATTAACAACGTTTCACATCTACATACACAGTAGCTTCTGTTCCCAGAAAGGCGACGATGCTTACACGTAAGAGGCGGCCAACGGATCGTCAGGCTCCCTGACTTGGTTGACACATGTCATCGGTTCCAATTGCGCAGATCGATGCTCATGCTGTTGATCACTGGATTGTCTGATCCAGCACTCGATGCCATTTACAGACCGCCTCCATATAGCTGGAATATTGCTGAGTGCGTACAACTAAACCTTCCACCACCCACCGTTCTGTAGATGTTCTTTAACACCCTCGGAAACAGTCATTCCCAACCTCTGGAAGAACTAACTCCCAAGTATTCGGATCACAATTTGGTACATGCATTTTGCTAATACCCGTATATTTAAAACCGGAATACAGAATACATGTCTTGATACAACGTGCATCAAGGACAGTCGGGTCTAAATTGTTTTGTGACAGAAAGACATGGAACGGCATGAATTGGCAAATGAATGGGCAAATAGTCTCAACGACACCGGTGATGTAATTGTTCTAATTCACATGAGTGAGTTTATTTTACGCCGCATGCATCCCAAAGGTACATATTCAGTTGAACATAGTTGTTTTTCCCATGCCCCACGAAACCGCATGCAGTTAAAAATCAGCCTTATATCAGCTTACTGCTACATAGGCTCGCAGCATGAATCATGGTGAAGATGAAGTGAGTGAGGCAATGGAATTTATCACCCTCTGCTATCCCAGTTATGTCACTGACCGTCAGCGTGGTGTGTTGGGGCGTTAAGATGTGATGCTGGCTTCCGACGTTCATCAATGGAGCGCATCCGCCTGCGCTTTTTGGTACATTCCAGCACATCAGGGTGGGGACAGAAGCTGGGCTGGCGATATTTGCACCTGTGGGAGAATCTCCAACCCGGTCTTCGGCGTGACGAGCGAATGCTTAACCACTAGGCTGCCCCACCGTCCCTCATCATGGTGAAACACACAGTCACTATTATAAATGCTTGACCTAGAAATAGGATCAGCACTTCCTCCCAACCTCAGTGCAAAGTGATCAGAGACAGTGTGGATCGCAACTCCCACACTTCTTTAACATAGACTTTACGACTCGTGGCAGTAAATGCTGGATCGCTTGGAGGAACGCACCGGATTTGAACCCACCCTAGGGACAACACCACAGTGAAATGGTCCAGGTACATGTTTTGGTTACGTAGGACTTTCTAACCGAATGAAAAATACTGTTCTACTCTACTGCCTATAAAAATATGCTGATGACAACAACTGCCACTAAACCAGCAATCAGACCCGGCACTCTTCTTCCTCGTCTCTTCTTCAGTAACCACATCGCCGTAGCTGCGGAAGCAAACCATCTTCTGAAACAAAGACAACGATTCGCAAAACCATTTAGAATATGATGTAATCTAAGTACCAAAACACGCTTCAGCAAAATATTACTTTCAGTTACTTCAATTCCGAAGAGGTCACGTGAACATGGAGTTCCTGAAGGTTGAATCTGGAACCTTGTACGCTCTGGTTATCTGAAACCCTATCAGAGTCCTGAGATTTTGTAGCCCAACGTTTGACATCAATTTCGTGAGTAAAGACTTCAGTACTGCTTGTGGGGAGTTGATAATTCCTAAACCTACATGAGTGGCTGCTTTCAATGGCCTGACTAACGTGTGGAAGATGACTCAACCTGCCAAGGTGAAGTATTTCCAACTTCTACCTCTAGCAGCCCCAATGCATGCGCTTCCATAGTTCGAAACCTGACGCAGAAAAATGTCTCGTGATGACCTTTGGAGGCAGTGTGTCACTAAGGGATGTTTCTAAACACTGGCATGCTTTCTGATGTCGAGAGAGAAAAGTTTAACCAACATTGACGTATTAAAATGAAAGTATATACTATATAAATTTGGATTTATGGAAAAACATTATCAAAACGCTACTTCATTGAAAGCTGCTACGAAGCACTTCAGCTTTTATGTAAAACACACGATAGCCACCTGTTTCTAAATACACCCCCATTGAGCATTACTATATTTTGTTTGTTTTAGCTGGATCAGGCTCTGCGTCATTTTGATCCGGGAGGAGCCCAAGGCTAGGCGTATATGCTTAACTTCTATAGCTTGTATGCCCACTGAGGCCTATTACACTTTGGCGACATTCATCCATCGACTCACTGTGGGATATAAATCTTGCAGTGAGACGTCCTTCCTGTAATCACAACATCTATATGTTCAAGTGTTAAAACAGAGTGGCTTTGTATCAGGCTCGGGTTGGACTTGGTTGACACAAGTCAATGGTTCCAATTGCGCAGATCGATGCCCGCTGCTATAGATCACTGATTTGTCTGGGTCTAGACTCGATTTATTTTACAGAACGCCATATAGCTGGAATATCGCCTGAGTGCGGTGTAAAACCAAACTCACTCACTCACTCACCCCGAAAAATATTACTTCCTTTCCAGCACTCCCTATATAATACAAATGTTGGTAAATGAAGCATGTCTAGATTTCACTTTGCCGGATCGCCCATATTACTGACCTTTTCAATTTAAATAGAGCCATTTCTCTTTTATATATATTTTCAGAGATTTAGGGTTGGGTCTAGAACTGCCCCCGTGTGCGGAAAAAGCTTAAGTCCGTTTTCTCCCAACCTCAAACTGAAACTACAAGCCAGCATTTCATTACATTAAATAAAGCGTCAACCAGATATTGATGCTCGTAAAAATGAACGCTGATCAATGTTCTTGTTCTACCGGTCAAATGGTGTAAAACATTACGTGTCTACATGGATCGCGTTGCAGAGAGAATCACATCCCTAATTGTTGAACACAAACGGAGAAAAATCCTGTTTATATTTTAATGGACATTAATGACGTGTGAAACTCACGTACCAGATGAAACCTGGGTACAAACGATGCTCACTGTCTCCTCGATTGTGTAAACTGAAACGCCAATGCAGAAATACCTTAGTCTTGTTTATCCGCCAAAAATAAAGCCTATTTTGGTGTAGCGACAACCCAGTAAGATACCTAGGTGTGTTTTTTCAGTTAAAAATAACAGGTGTATGTCCAGCACATGCTAATCACATAATTTGCATATAAAAGTAATGTTAAGAGTATTGCCTGACGCCCCACGACAGCTTTCAGTCCTGCTCCAGTGACAGAGGCTTGTAATCAAACCGGACAAATCAAGTGAACGATGGATAAGAAAATGAGCAGAACATAGACTTTATTAAGGTTTTGGGAAACCCAGCTGGCCTCCTCGTGACAGGTGACCGGTAATGCATTTACTGATTACGATGAAGCTAATAAAACGGTGTCTTAATTTTATATTATGTCAGTGGTGTACAACTGCAGAAATTCTGCTGCTTATAAATCAAGTAAAATGTTTAAGAAGTGATTCGTTTTGCAACCCACATTGGAGTGCCCTTTAATGTCTCGGGCTCAAACATTACTTACTTTATGTTGAATCAGCATAGGTATATTCCTTCTGGGATTATGGTCACACTTTTAGTTATCCAGCAGAAACATCTGAACCAGTTCACTAGTAACTCAAAACGCATGGAAATCATGGATATGCTGCGTTGACCCCGCCAGAGCATACTCTCACACTGTACGTCAAAGTTAATACTTGTATGTTTAAAACACCGGTTTTTCACATAGGGGCGGTAGGGTAGCCTTAGTGGTTGTAAAGCGTTCGCTCGTCACGCCGCTAAAGACCCGGGTTCGATTCCCCACATGGGTAGAATGTGTGAAGCCCATTTGTGGTGTCCTTACACCGTGAATTGGATGGAATATTGCTAAAGGCGGTGTAAAAACCCAAACTCACCGCTTAATTCACTCCAACTGCTTTTGATAATTGTGTGGTACATATCCCTCGAAGATATTAATAAATAGTGGTTCCACCAACGACATCTTGCATTCCATACAATTAGATAATAGATATCTTTACAAATCATTATTAAACATTCAACAAGAACTAAGTATGATGTTCGCATACTACTCCCAATATAAACTTCACGAATCGTTCACAAAACTATATTTCGCAAGCTA